GCAACTGATCCTAAATATTTTCCAGTAAAGTAGGTTGCAGAAAGCAACTGATCCTAAATATTTTCATGTAAAGTAGGTTGTTCAAAAACAACTGATCCTAAATATTTCCCACAATCAAATGGGACATTTGAAAGATCCCATCTCACTCAAAGGGATTCCTTAAAAAATTAAATAAATAAAAAAGTAAAACAAGTGGACGAATTCATATCCTTTGCTAAGTCTTCTCGTAACTCTTACGTCCACTCCTCCTTGGGATAGTATCTTAATAAATTTTTAATTGACAATAAATGACTCACGAAATATATTAATAAACTACTATACTAATAATATAAAACAAAAAATTAAAATGACATAAATGTATTAGTAATATTATAAATAATGTACAATTCTGTTTGCACGGCAACATATCATTCATCCACTAATACATTATCCTATAAAAAATTTTTTATGTAAAACACTTCCTAGTCCTATCAGAAGAAATGTATCAAAAAATTATTCTTTTATCCAACCTCAAGTCTTTTACCTCTAATGAGCAATGAAAAAAAAATTCCATTACTAGGAAAACCTCAATTTGTCTGGACTGACAACTCACTTGGAATATCTATGCGAAAAAGTAACGCATATGTCTTCGCTAAAATCTTGTAAAATCAAGATTCTCACAAAGGGATTACACAAAGAAACACCTGAAGAGTGCTTAAGATTTAAAAACGAGTTTAATCAATCAAAGAATAAACAAGAAAAAGAAAAGAAGAGAAATTACCAAAAAGTTCAAGTAAAACAAAAACAAATTTTAATCTAATTAATATAATAAAAAAATTTGTTTCCTTTTAAGGGGGAAGGTGTTGTGATCCCAACGAAATGTGATATATTTTTGATAAGTGAATAAGAATAGTGACTCCATTCACATAGTAGACGCAAAGTCAGCATGTTTGGAAACTTCGCTTTTCTTATCTAATCTTAAGTGCTAGTGAATGAATAATGACTAGGGATTGTTTTGGTCTTCATATAAATAGTGGGCTTCGGCACCACGTCTTGGTCTTTCGACATCCGTCCGTCAGTCAGTGCATCTTAGGTTGGATTCAAGAGCATCACGTTCTATTTCCACTTACGTTAC